CATGATGGAGTCTTACTTCCTGAGAAGGCTCTTTTGTCTCGTGTAATGGGTTTCTTGACGGCTTATGGCTTGTTGTCCGTGCGGCGGATTACGGGTGCGGATAGTTCTTCGCTGGACGTGGGATCGATCGATTACAAAGTGCTCGTGGGATTTTGGCAGACCTGTGATCGAAATGCGAGATTCACTTCAAATTCACCTCGTGTTGCAACTTTCGTGATCTTACCTGGTGTTGTAAGATGGCCGGTACCAGAATGTCACGTGCGTGACAGGAAAATTCAGGGTCTTCTCGTCACCCGTCGCGTATCTTGGATTTTTTCTCACTCGCGCTGCGACACGTCGCGTGATTATGTCTTCACGGTGTAGCTCACCGCTGCCACCAGGCCTCACCAACTTCCTTGATTGCCGACCGGCTGCTGCCACTTACTCCGAACCAATCGTTCGACGACCTTTCGACTTCAGCCGCGGGCACGAACTACTCTGTCGATGATCCCAGCGCCTGTCAAACTGCAAGCGAATCTTTGTTCCTTGTTGATGTTTCAAGCGAGACGCCCCTGCAGCACGACGTTTCGGTGATGCACGCTCGATGAAAATACTTCATTTTAATTCCTTGTGTCGGGCTTACACACTGAACTTATTTTCTTCATACTTCTTAAAATACTAACGTAACCAACTCTGAAATCATGGATTTATTTGATGTTTTCTGCTCGATGGGCCAAAAATGGGCGATTAGGCCGAAGGAGTTCTCTACCCTATAATCTATTCCTCTAAAATTCGGTGAAGGCTTTAATTTTGATTTTATTCTGTCGTTCATTGCGGTTTGGTGCTCTCTGAACCTTGAAAGAACGTAATCCTGCTCGTTTCTTGGCTTTCTGCACGAAACTTTTTGTTAGGTGCAGTTTTTTTTCACGATATCCCGAACGGAATAGTTGGGTTTGCGTTTGAAGGCAGCAACCACTCGCTTGTGATCTAACACGGAACACTAAATGCACTCACTTGCTTCCGATCGACAGTTAAACGGTCTCCGAAACGTTTTATGATACGAGAAACAGTAGATTGTTGGATTCTCAACATCTTTCCGATGGCTCGGTGTTGTAGATGTGGGTTGTTGTGCAAAATTTTCCCGCGCACGCGCTGTTCCTTGGACTCCATTTTTAAAACTACTATGAAACTAACGCTGAGGCCATCTCTCTCAAAATTTCATTAAAATTAACCCAAAGGGCAAAATGTTACAGCTTTTTCAAAGTGATGCAATTTAAGGGTGGGCAGCCTGTACATGGGTATATTTTATATTTAATTTTAGTAAAATGAGATATCAATTTCAATCAATCATTTCAATGACAGTCGTAAATATATCATGGATGATTATATTCATTGTAATTGTAATTGTAATTTATCAGCCCACACCCTGGTCGACCACTGTAAACCAATCTGCCGTTAAGCGAGTGTGTACCTACTGAAACCTGACCGTAGGCCTATGCTAGGCCGTAAAGCATAACGACCTTCGTCCACTTGCAGTATTAGTATGTTAGTATAAATAAATAATACTATATAGTCAAGAGCTTTGAGTGGGCTGGTTTACTTCCTCCAAACTCCGTTACAATCGCCTATCTCCCGACAGACACGCGTACCCCGTCTACTACTTGCAGACTTCATCAGTGCCAAGTACTCAACACCACTACTTGGCACTGATGAAGTCTGCAAGTAACAAACTAAACACGCGCATCTGTCAAAAGACAAGCAACCACAACGGAACCCAAAGGAAATAAATCAACCCACTCAAAGCTCTTCATAAAGGGATTCCGTTAAGAGGTTCGACAAATTTAAAGGACTATATAGTCATATAAATCACCACAGCTAAATATAAATATATAATAAAGTATATAATTAATAATAAGTAACGTGAGTATTATTGTACAAATTACAATACAGTGTAGTAGTTACCTCATTATCTTCAGCGCCTCTGTGATATACTTACTTGCGGCATACGGCATTTTGGGAGTGTATATGAGCGTGTACCATGTACGGTAGCTCATCTCTCATCGTGATGGTGGGACATAGTATACAAATTAGAGAGAAAATAAGGAGGTATTAGTATTAGTTATAAGTAAACAAACAAAACAAAATAAGAGAAGAGGAAAGAATAGCAGAAAGATAAAAAAGAAATAAATAGGTTAACAAAGAAAAGAAACGTAGGCAGATTATTAGAAAAGGCATTATCCGAGACTCAGCAATCAAATGTCACTCCCGCCGAGATCTCAGCGAAACCCTCCCCGCCGAGACCCGCACAGCCGAAACCTGAACTTTTTGTCAGTGCGAACCTCAACCTGAGCTAGGTTTTAAAAACAAACGATCAAACTGACGTTTGCAAGAAAACAAGCAGACCCGATCTTGATACCCGATCCAGGTTGGAACTGAATAATAAACAAATTCGCTATAAGTGTGTAGATAGATTAGTAGGAAAATAAAACTACTTTATGACTCAAAGTGAAATGAATGAAAGTTAGTTTCGGGATCATTTCAGTGTTAGAGTTATGTTAGTTTTGATCCGTAATCAGCATTGCCGGCCCCTACAACATTAGTTGCAGGCAGTGGTTGTTAGATCATGCGGCACTGTGACTACTACTATTTTAGAGGTATGATTCGTCAAGTTTATACAACTCAATGTTTCAATTGAGGCAAACTATCTATCTTACAATTACAAAAGCAAACCTAAACTTACAATTATATGCAAATGCAAAATGAAACTTGACAAATCATCGTCAATCCCCTTATTCCAGGGCAGGGCCTGACGATTTGAATCTAATTTTGATCAGTGAACGGGCACCATATGGTACATTTTCTCACCATGAACCTATCATTTCCAGCCTATCTGAACTATTTAATAAATGGAAGCCATAACATGGGTTACGCTCCCCCTAAGCGGGCCTTCCGCATCCCATCTCTGTTTTATCTCAAATACAAAATACCAATGGTGTGAATGTATCTATACATAACTTGGAAATGACGTACAATCAAATAAACCCGTAACCCACTCACTTGGCCAGGCTTCAGAATCGTCCAGTGGGCAGTGCGCTCTACACTCCAAGTTCCCTTTTTTTCAATTTCACCGCAAATTTGACATTTTACCCATTGAGTGTTGATTAATCATAATGAAGCATTGTGACAGAGGTTGAGGTTACTAGTGTATTAAATAATCCAGGTCCTATCCAGGACTATATCTGAAAAATCCAAATCTAAACCTAAACCTAAACCTGTTCTAATCAACCTGAAATGACTAACAACCTGAAATGACTAACAACCTGAAATGATCAACCTGAAATGATGGAAGACTTTGACTACCCCGCCATGCAATAGTCTCATTCCGTGCCTTATGGCAACTTAATGATTCTATTGCTCTCATCTTCTGGCACCACCCAGGGGAGACTTGGTCCTGTACCCAATGCTTAACTTATCTCCATTCCACTCAGCTACTCGCAATTTCTTGTGATAATAGTGGGCGGAATATTATTATATGAGACAATTCAATGCAGACGTCTTTCCAAATTTGGCAGATCGACAGGTAATCGGTGAGTTACCACGATAGTTGCTATTCAACAACTCGACAACGTCCCATCGTCAACGCCTGCTATGAGAATTTCCAATTGCAGACGTCAACGAAATGACGTCATGAGCTATCGATCAACTGGTTATCGCCTGGCACCTTATAGCACGATGCTAGGAGGCGAACCGGAAGAATCGATGAGCTACCTCCCCCATGATGGATGATTGTATTCATTAGCCCAATTTTTTTTTCCTTGCTAAAATGTAAATCCAGAACAACATGTGAAAAGGGCATAAAGTTTTTTGTAAACAAACCTTTGTAGGCCCTTTTCTCACCAACCGAGGGTCGCCCACGCAAACCAGCAATATCATCGGGAAGAGGAAAGTGTCCCCTACCCGGTGATGTTAAAGGTTTGCGTTGGTGTCATATGGGTGGCGAGAAAGGGGCATAAGAAGGTTTGTTTACAAAAAGCTTGTATGCCCTTTTCACATGTTGTTCTGGAAATGTTGTTTTTTTAAGACTTTATTAGGGAGATTTTTAGCCTCTAGGCTAGTTCATCTCCAATGTAAATGTTGTAAGGTTGATGATAATGGTTTTATAGGCAGATTACAGGATGCTCATTATGCCCCTCCTTCCCCTTTCAAATCACAAATCTCGAAAAAAAAACATGTCATATTCTAATGGCGGTAAGCTCCAACTCGGAATAACTATTAATTCCGTTCCTGTTTGGATGATCTGTAAAATGTTTGCTTACAGTCTTGTTGATTCATCATCAGATTGTTGTCATCAAAGCAGCCGGACATTTTTTTTTATCGGGATTTAATCCGAGGATAATACCGGTTGAAGCTTACCACCATAAGACCCTAAACAAATCAAGGCGAGCAATGGGTTAGGTCCTAAGTAATATTGATCGATTCTCTTCATCGCCTTTCTCTTTCGGTAATAACTTGGCTACAATACCGTTTCATGTCGTGTACTAGGTAATAGATTAAACATTTTTGTTTTTTGCTGAACATTGAAAAACAGGATTTTTTTTAGATTCACTGGCCACCCGACTTTACCACTAGACACCAAACATCTTTAATATTAAAGCAAAAGTTCTAGGATTATTATTATTATTTATCTTTATTAGGGAGGCTTTCAGCCTTGGGCTGGTTCGCCTCAAAAAAAAAAGTTCTAGGACTACTTTCCTGCTGTATTCCCATCCTGGACCACTCTGTACTTTATAGGAAAACCTTATTTTTAAATACTTTATTATGGTGATTGTTTGCCACTACTGAGCTAGTTCCACACCAGGAAAGATTTCAGAGAATTTGTGCACTTGACCGATCAACAGAATCGATCATCGCAGTTAGGTCCTTATGATTCTGATCGCTAGATTATCATGCTGACAATCAAATATAATAGATACAACCATTAATAATGAAAATAAAACGTTTCATGTTTCTTTTCTTCACAGGGTATCAAGGCGAAGCCGGTGGTATCGTTCATCGCCGGTCTTTCGGCCCCACCTGGTCGGCGTATGGGCCACGCCGGTGCAATCATCTCCGGTGGTAAGGGAGGCGCTCAGGATAAGATCAATGCGCTGGAAAAGTCCGGCGTTATCGTAACCAGAAGCCCCGCCCAGATGGGCAAGGAATTGTTCAAAGAAATGAAGAGATTGGAACTCGCCTAAATAAATGCAAGCTATCAATATTTACTAAACGTCTAAAGTGTGTAGTAAATTTAGGAGATTTCTCTTCAGTGTTACTTTCGGTTGTACACATTGTATGTTTTTCCTCATTTTACATCGTTAAAATTGAACTGAGCAATAATCGATTAGCTCAAAAATAAACCATAGATCAGGAGTTCATAATGCTTTATCTTCATCCAAGTTAGAATGCGTTGAAATAAGCACATGGATAAACGACCTTGTTGTGAAAATGCAATTTTTATTTTTTTTTTGCTTAACTACAATATATACATACTTACACGAAAAGACTAAACCTGGAGCTAGCGACACTGAACGCCATGTTGTTATAGATGACCCGATTCCGATTGAGGTGATTGAAATTTAAACTACCTTATAGCTATTTGTGTATTCACATCCGAAATTGTAAAAGCCGCACGACATGATAGAACATTATTTTAAAACGTGAATAATAACACGAATCGATTCTGATGACTTGTCCTCCAACATTTATAAAAATAATGATACATGTTCATCATCGCTACGGAGGTAAGAATGTTCATGAAATAATATCGAAATTCTGAATCTTAATCGATAAAATACCAAACTGCATGAATACAAACATATTCATTAATCGTTGAATAGTTGAGTTCACTTGTATACTTGGTTCGAAGGCCCTGCGAGTGATGAATTTGGTTGGCTTACTTATTTTATATCTGTTTCATGGTTCGTTTTTTTTAAGTTATGCTGATACCGAATACAATATGTTGGTAAGTGCACCGTCTTAACTTTTACTGAGGAATAACATGACATTTGTGGAGGTAAAGTTTATCAGGCTCATTTCATGGATCACTAAATTTGAATCCTATGTTGACTAAATTATAGAATGCTATTGTGGTATATGTAGGTAGAGATTGTATTACGCAAGAATATGCCGTATTGATGATTGGAAATGTGGGGCCAGTGGATGAAAACTACAGTATAACTACAATCCCAGCATCCTATGTGATTCTGCTTCTCTTTTAAAACTTTGAAAAGGTATTGTATGAAATCCAGCAATGGTAAGTGAAATTGATTTTAAAACCCCCTTTTCTTTTGTTCGAGTATATCGATTCATTCAGCTAGTGAGACCTATTCTGGGCACCGAGTGAGGTGAGGTGACTCTCTGTCACTAGTGAATGGCACCTCAATAGTGACAGCAGGCATGCTTGGCATGTGAAGTTGTACACACTAGCTACTCATTTGTTAATAACTTTTCACTCAGTTGTTCAAATTTGTTTTTCTTTGAAGTAATTGATCATAGCTTAATATAGATATGCAAGTATCTATAACAAGCTTAAACTCTATTCTATCGACGGCTTCAAAAAGAACTATGTTTCGTCAACTGTGTGCAAAGTTATTAGCAAATGAGCAGTTCGTGACCAAAACTGTGAATGCCAAACATGACAGCAAGCCACCTCACCTCACTCGCGATGCAGAATAAGGGGGATTCAGTCGAGCTAAGAATTGAAGAAATTGGAAGCTACCTTCAGAACACGTGATAGACCAATTAAAATAAACGTTTTAACTTACCCCGTCGTAACGTAATTATGTTTTACTAATTTACGGATTGCGTTAGAATCTTAATTATCGCATTTAATGTTGACGACAATGAACTGACTCTGCAATCCGTATCAGTGTTCGTCAAATTATCAAGCTGATTTTTCGGATCACTAATTATGAAACCAATTAGTTAGATTAGTTGCCATAGATTTGTTCAACTTTTCTTATACTGGCAACTTGCCACGAGCATTTTGCTTTGCGCTGGCAATTTACGGTTTACAGCACGTTTAATCGGTTTTCAGATACTTACAGCACCTTACATAACTATAATTTTTTGAGTGTTCCATTTTTAATGTAGATTACGAATTTGCATTTACCTCCATAGTCCTAAAGAATCCAATTAGGAATTTTCTTAATCCTCATAAAAACTCCCAATGTCTTTCTTGGTAAAATTTCCATTTGACATACTTTCCTGATAAATGAAAAAATGCCAAGTTGTTCCAATTTTAAGGTTCAATTTACTTTGATGCATTTTCGAAAAATTCAAAAGCAGTTTTTTTCGACGTATTATTTCAGATTGCTAAAAGCTCGCGTCATTTTGTGTAGAATAGCGAAAGGAATCGAATAGTGCGAGCATTTTGCAATCTGAACTAATGCGTCGAAAAAAACTGCTCTTGAATTTTTCGAAAAAGCATCAAAGTAAATTGAACCTTAAAGACGGACAAAAATCCAGCTGAAGCTTTTAGCCAACGTCCAAATTTTAGTATCTTGAATTTGAATTCACATCAATTCAAACTCAATTTTTGCAGATGAGAAGTTTGGATTTCGCCATGGACATTCATCTACTCATCAACTCGTAAAAGTTATTAATTTAATTCGAACAAACAAATTTGAAGGCTGCTCAACTGGAGTTGCTATTCTAGACATAGAAACACCATTCGACAGTATTTGGTATGAAGGTTTGATTGTGTAATTGAAAAAGTTTAATTTTTCACTATATATGATATTAGTTCAACATTTTTGCGTAACATGTGAAAAGGGCCTTTGATTCGCGTGAAAGGGGCATTACATGTTTTGTTTGCAAAAGATGATAGGCCCTTTTAAAATGAATTCTGGATGTAAATGATCAGAATTCAAAATCAGATCGACTACCTGTTCCACAGAGTTCTTGGTCCAATGTTATATAGACATGGTCACTTCACTTTGGACCTCCCTGAGTTGTAACAAGCCTTTGTGCGCCGATGACTCAGGCATTTTTGATCTAAAGGAAGAAGTTTTCGTGTTATTTGTAGCAGAATGCAAGAAAAGTTTAGATATTTTCTTTTCTTATTTACAAAAAATGGAATTGGAATATTTCTCCCAACGCTTCCGAAACTTAACTTATAATATTCACGCCAAAGCAGCGAGTTCAAATGCCTTCTCGGACAAGTTGCAAATGACTTAAGAGTGTTGTAGTGATATTATTAATAATAAAAAATCATAATATGAAATCATATTATGATATGCCCTCATAAGTTCAGAGCTTGCTGTTTGAAACCTAGTAGTTGTCACATAGTCAGAAAGGACGGAGTTACAATTTTTTGGTCAAGTAAAGTAAAATATCTCGGACTAGTACTTGATAAAAACATAACTTTTAAAGATCACATTGAGGGAATCCAAGCCAAATGTAACTATTCAAATCGACTAATCTGATTTTGTAAACAATCCTTTCAATCGACGATTTGTGGCAACTGCTATGTAGTTCCCTTTACACTTAAACTGTGTTACACAAACTAACAAATGCAGCTGCTTGGGGAAAGATTCCCCTATCTGATGATGGTGGTTTGCGTGGGTGAGCTAGCAGATAAGATGAATTTGTGTATCTCGGATAACAACTGCAGCAGAGAAATTCGGAGCTGCATTATTGCCGGAAGTCGTGGTTACGACGGACTCCACAAGGCCTTGAGGTTTGGTAAACTTCATCCCCGTCTTAAGTGCGCCATCTACAAGACGCTTATAAGACCGGTAGTTCTTTACGGGCACGAGACGTGCACAACGCTCGAGGAGGACCTGCAAGAACTGGGAGCTTTCGAACGACGTGTTCTTAGGATGAGCTTTGGCGGGGTATGTGAAAACGGCGAAGGAGAATAATGAACCACGAGCTAGTGCAACTCTATGGTGAACCCAGTATTCAGAAAGTGCCTAGACTGGAAGGGTACAACGGCCGGGACACTAGAATGCCGGACAACAATCCCATAAAAATTGTGTTTGCTGGTACAAGACGCAGGCGAGCGCAGCAGGGTGGTTAGATCAAGTGTGGAACGATCGAGAAACTGGAAGCAAGTTGCCATTAATCGAGTTAGTGGGCACAACATTGTAATGCAGGTGAAATCCTGAGGGGCGTCGGACCAGAACAAGTAAAATAGGTAGCATTTTTTTAAATATAGGCCAATTCGAGCATTTTGTTTCTACTTACGTTGGTAATTTAATAGTTGGTGGGGAGTTGGCCAAATTTGGATTATTCAGACGAAAACAGACCACCTACAGGTGTAAGAAGCCAGATACGAGAAGAGATGTCACAGCATGGACAATTTAGTCACGAATAACGATTCATCAAGGGAGGTATTTTCTCAAGATCAATAATAAAATAATACTATCCTAGTTTCTGTAACGTGGCTAACATGTGCTGTATTATTTTCGGTGCATTCGTTCAACATAACTTGAGCAGAGGCATTTTTTTCATTTGGATGATAAGCACCTAATAGCCGCACGATTATACGCCTATCGCTATAAACGATTCTTCATATGGAGAGATAGATAGAGAGAGCAACAACAGTACATGGAATGTTTCAGAGTGAGATTATCGATATTTTGATTTCTTATTCGGCTATAACCAGCTCAGTTTTGGAATCCTTGGTGACCAGTTTCACAAGGCTGCCGCTGACAGGACGTTCTTCGTTTTTGGTCCACTTATGGAAGAGTCTACAGAAGAGATGTGCAGGAATTATGAAAGTAACAATAATTGTTTACCACACTTATATAATAAAACAATATTGGCTACTTACTCGGCAATAAACTCCAATGGCGTCCATGTGCCAAAGTCAGCAGTGGGCATCCATTTGCGATTCATTGGAGTATCCAGTGTGATGGGCAAAATAGAAACCACTAGCGATTTCTCCGGCAGCCCCGAATCTTTTCCAGCCAAACTCTTCGTGAGTTGGTGTACTGCTGCCTTAGCCATGCCATAACCTATCATGCCGGGAGTACCGGCGATTGCTGGATTAGCTCCGGTCAATGCCAATAAACCTCCCACCTTCAAATGGTTTGCACCCACAGTAGCCGAAATAGCCGAGGACCAAACCGATTGTTTCCACATGAGGTCTGAATTCTTCGCCAGATCCTTTGATGCATTGCCACCTGCCCAGCCGCCAGCGACGCAGATTACAGCATCCAATTTGTCTCCCTTCAGAGATGACTCAACCTGCGATAGCACACTCTGCTCTTGGGAAATCCAGTCAGCATCTCGGTCTACGACGATATTTACATCAGCAGAATCGTTTTCGGCAAGGTCGATACAACCAACCCACTGTCCGAAACAAGAGAGGAATTAGAAGCGGAAATATAAGTAACAAACATTCGTGACGTAAACGTGGCTATTGACGGAAAAAAAGTGAAAGGCAATAATTCCTACATCAGTGGTCAACTCACCCAGTTGTTTTTCTTGAAATACTGGACACATGTCGCTCCAAGGGCACCTCGGCCTCCATAGATTAGTACCTTACCACTGGCCATGTTGGAAGAATGTTGATGGAAAATAGTTAACACAGTATTACTTACAGATTTTCACCAGACAACAATGCAAATAAAAGACCTCGCTCGCGTAAGTACTGTTTCGAAGTGATTAATACTGTAACCAACCACCAACCAGTTGCTGCAATGTACCTATAGAGTGAATAGTTTTCGCGTGCGGCTCCCGGCTCTCGCGAGTCTCACGGACAAGATGTGAAACTTTGTGTGGGAATTTGTGAGAGAGTTTCGCAAGGACCGGATAGACTGAGAAAGAGAAGGCGCGACGAGATATTCACGTCGGAGTGAACGAAAGGGCAACATCGTTCTTGGCACAAACGATGCTTGCAATCATGAGAATGAGAATTTTAAATATTTACCGTATGTGGCAGAGGTTTGGACACTTCATAATTGGGAAATCATACGCTGCAGAAAGTGCGGGAACATGCTCTTGCTTTTTGCTGTACATAATTTTACAGAAAAGCAAGTACAGCAACAGACCTTTAGAGGACAAATTTCCAAAAAAATGTAAGCATGGTGTTTATGAACATCCCCTTAATAATAATGAGTATTGCTAAATACAAATGTTTCAGTTCTCCCCAGGGGGGTTGAGTTGGATCCGCACTGGGTGCACAGATTTTAGGAATGCAACTCGAGCCCCCGAATTCACCGCATTAAAATCCGATATATCAATATCGATTTTTTATTTTGATTGCGAAATACTGTTAAAATCGACAGGGCCTATACAAGCAAATCTGGCGAACTTAGTCAGCTACTTATGGCTGTTGAAACGGTCGGGAGAAGCTTTTATTGCATATCCATTAACGCTTCTATACAGCTGTTATCCTGTTGTTTAGTTGCGTGTGAACTTGAAAAGCGCTTATTCAACCATTTCCCGGTTATCCAATAATCACTACACAGCTTTCTCTTGAAGCCGGGTTAAATACTGTTTACGCTTTTTTATGAAGGAATTTATTGAGTTTATTTTGCTGTGAATCAAATTAATCGAAATTAGTTACAAATCATCACCAAATTATTTACCTTGCACCGGAACCTGGAATCGAACTCGAGACGACCTCATTGGCAAACCTTGACACTACCGACTGTGCTACGCCAACACTTTGAACCTACACACTAAAAAAATCTGAATTTTACTGGTGATGTAAACATCCATGCATGCAAACATTCATGCATTTAAACTTCCTTTTCACGTAAACTAGCAGCTTGCAAGAAATGTTGCAAACAAAGGTGGAAAGTTGCATACAATATATGGAAATTGCATGACATGTCTCATAAATTTACACGATTTATAAGTAAATTTGTATGATTTATGACGCTCCATTTATGTGCATCATAGTAACGGAAATTTACACTACTTTTTTTTAGCTGTGTATGTAAACAAATCAACATTCCCTTCTACAACAAAATCGCTGAGTAGAGACTTTATAATAGTACACATGAATCACTTTTCTCGACTAGTTATAAAAGAACAGAGTAAAAGCTGTAAAACTGCATACGTCTAAAAATAAACCTAGTTGACTGCAAGGCTGACTGTGAAAATGCTTCCGAAGTTGCTCTAACACAGTTTATAAGCTGAGTACAGGTTGTTTAGTTGTTGAAAAAGCACTATTGATGTTTATGTTATTCAGCAAGAGTGGTTGGTTTTGTAGAAGCCATCAAATGAGTAATATATTCACTTTGTTAGCATTGTTTTGCAGCTACAAGTTGAAAGTTGGGTAGTGTGTATATAGAAGTGACATTAGCGTTTATTGGCTGGAAACGCTGGAAAAGTTGGCTTACAAAGCTGAAAATGTTAGTTGGGATTTTTCTCAATTACATAATCAATGAGTGTTACATTGGACGTTTTGTCTACATGATACTAGATTCCCTTTCACAGATTTAATAGTAGCATACCTAACTTTAGATTGGCCCCGCCTTTAGAAAACGAGCACCAATCATGTTAGGCAGTCCGAATGACCGAAGTAACAATCATGTACCCATCATTTCAAACTTTACATTGGACAATTTTTGAGCTAAGATTTTCAAATATTGTGAATTTTATTTAGGCCTACATTGGGACGCAGAAAATTAAAAAAAAAAAAATCAATTGACCACTTTGTCAAGCAGTTTTGGCGTGACTTTCTACCAGCGATTCCACAAAACTGGACCAACTAATATCTATTTTTTTATGAAACGCACAAATAATGGCTACTTTTCTCGTGGTTCTAGAAGAAAAAATCTCAAAACAATGTTTTATTTCAAAGTTCGAGCGGTAGTAAACCTCATTTCAACTGCTCGAATGAAGTGGTTAATAGAAAAAATAACGTAGGGTATAAAAACGGCTCGTAGAAGGTAATTTGTGTATAGTAGGTTAGGTGTATATAGTAATTGTAGGGTTGTAGGCTAGTTGTTATTGTAAATAGTAGTTATAAGTAGTTTCCCTTTTCAAATTCAAAACAAACCAATCCCACCAAGGTGGTCATTCTTTAAAGCAGGCCTGATAGGACTAGGAACTTTAAATAAAAATTAAAAATTTCAAATGAACTAAAGTTGAAAAGACGTTTCTGTGTCACTTGATAATTCATATATTTTATATGGTTTAAAACCATATAAAATATATGAATTAATTTTAATTGAATTAAAAATGCATATAAAGAATATGTATTTACCTCGATATCCCTAAACAACCCAATTAATAATCATAATTTATACTTTGACATTTGAATTCAGACAGTATATAATTTGGTACAGTACGGTATCAACTACATAAGAGAGAGGTAGAAAGCTCTAAAAAAAAAACTCTCAGAGAGAAGTTCTCAAAAAACTTGTTGCTTCTTAGGTTGCTTCTTGCTTCTAATCATCCATGTCATATATTGCCGACAACTAGGCGTTTTCCAGTACTTTGAGTTTTAATCGCTTTCTCGAGCAGTATCACTCGAACTTAGGATGGGGATGACAATATTTTGTAAAAAAAATCGACTATTGATTTATATTTTTTAATATTAACCACTTCATTCGAGCAGATAAAATGACGTTTACTACCACTCGAACTTTGAAATGAAACATTATTTTAAGATTTTTTCTTCTAGAACCTCGAGAAAAGTAGCCAACATTTGTGCGTTTCTCAAAAAATTAGAAATTAGTTGGTCCAGTTTTGTGAAATCGCTGGTAGAAAGTCACGCCAAAACTGCTTGACAAAGTGGTCAATTAATTGATTAATTATTGATATCAGTGAGTAAGTAACTAAGGGGGCTCTGCTTGTGCATCTATCTTTTTTTTTCCTCTGTTCGGGACCTAACACTACTGCGACCAGTAAATTGATCTATTGTAGTATATCCCGTGTCCTTAGTTTAGTGCATGTCGTATTACTCCATCACTATTGAGAAAAGATGAAGTATTCGATATTTTTACAGTTGCCACTCTTGCATTTATCGCAAGGATCCGACTCTAATTGAAAGGTCCCGCTATTTATACCCTTCGGAGTGTTGAAACACCCTCCAAAGGCGTTGTCAGTCGAATTTGGCAACAAAATTCAGGTATGACACCGATACTGACCATGCATCAGAACCCTAGTCTTAACCACTTCAAACTAGGGAACAACGAATAGAAGATTAGGAATCACATAGATTAAGACAACTAACTCATTTTTTTTTCTTGTTTTAAAATCATCCTCGGTAGACAAAGCCGAGTCTTGTCACTATCAACAAGGCATAAAAAGTAACAAGGACTAAGTTGTGTTCCTTGAATTACTGAAAAATCCTGTTCCCCTAGTTTGAAGTAGTCAGGACTAGGAATCGGTGGTAGATCTTACATCCCGTAACGTACCACGAGAAGGTGATCTACCCACGTTACGGGGTACCTATCTTTAACTAAGCTAAATGGTGTCACTTTTTGAGTTAGCAGCATACGGCAAAGTACTGTCGCTACTGTTGAAATCTGGAGTGACTCACTAGCGAAAATCGAGGTTAATCTTGTTCACACGCAGAAAAAACACTACCCAAATTCGATTTCTTTTTACTTAATATTAAGTTCTGTCTCTCACTTGTTCTCTTTATTGTTGTGGAAAAAGGAACGAGAGTTTCGACCCAACGAAATAGTTCAGTCAAATGAGCTACTTTTGAGTAGATTGCATATTCTCAAATTTACGTGCATTAAACTTAATTTTGGGTAGAATATACTTAAGAGTAAGAATTTTTTTTTGTTGGAGTTTAATGGCAACTACTTTATGCGATTTAGTCAAATTTGGATTATTGGGCTGAACCTAATGTTTTAAAAATCTTGAACTTGAAACTTGAATTTTTTTAAAGTATCGTGATCTGTACTAATATAAATCTGTAAAACAAATTAAATCTTCAAAACAATTTTAATTTCTATGATTCATTCACATGTGTTTAGAGTCTTAGAATATGCGATTTTTTTTAGAGATTTGGAATTTCTGAAATCTATTCTAGGTTTAGAAGTGAAAAACATAATTGGATTTTTTTCCAACAATATGCAACTGAGAAAAATAGTCAAAATGTGGAATTTTGAAATTTTTTCTAGATCCCTGATTTAGAAAATTGTTCAAGATTTCAGATTTGGAAAAATACAGTTGCGGGAAAATTGTGTGGTCTTGTGTTTTGTTTTAATCTTTATTATAGAGATTTTTAGCCGATGTGTGGTCTTGGAAAAATGTTCCGGGTTCTAATAAGAAGATTTTTTTTATAGAATTTTGAAAATTCAAAATTCTGAGAAGACCTTGACGAAAAATTCAACGGAGCTCTGACAAGAATTCTAATTTAATTCTAGGATTAAGTCCTGACGAACTCCTAGAAGAAATACAGGGGAGTTGTGGAGAGAACCCCAAGGAGAATTTCTAGGTTATTCTGAAGAATTTTAAGGATAATTTAAAAATAAATTCTGTTTATAAAGGGTTTTCTGATGATAATTTCAAAGGAATACTGAGAAAGATTTACAAGACAACTTTAAGCAAGATCCGAGAAAAATGCCGAAGGAATCGTGTTCTGAGGTAAATAAATAAAAAAATCTGAAAAATTTAAATTAAATTCTTATGAAAGTTTCACGAAAATTCCGCAAAATTCCAAAGTATTTCTGAGGAGAGTTTTGAAAAAGGTC